TCAAAATGGTACTTACTTGTGCTTATCCGGATTGTTCAAACCGACTTAAAACTAAAAGATTACGTTCTCTCGCGCGAACTCATTCGGGAGTGGTGACTTTCCACGTATTCCCAACTTCTGAGCCTGCTCGCCTGAAGTTATGGTTGATTGCTCTTCGGCTGGATATCAACACACCCATTAACGTAAACTACGCCAAAGCGCGTACACACCTCACGCACCAGATGCTGTGCGCGCGCCCAAAGACAGTTGGACATAGTGGTGTATTAGAGGTAAAAAATGATATAAATACTGTTCGGTTTCTGGCACAAACCGATCGTTTCGTGTCTTAGGACATCAATGTGTCGTCACAAGCCGCAGGGTTTAATTTGGATTTGTCTGTGCATGTTTTTTTTACTCTCATAGATTTTGTTACCATTGCCATGCATTATACAACTGATAGACTGCAACGGTTGGAGTTAAAAATCATCATATGTGTTCTACTGAAGAAACAAAGTCACCTACATCTTGGATGCCCTGGGGGTAAGCAGATAAACATCAAATTTTAATTTTTGGGTGAACTATCCCTGTAATATTGTGACAAAATGTTGATACTTTCATTTTCAAAATAACCATAGGTGGACTGTAAGGAAGTACATTCGTTAAGTATTCTTGAACAAACATGAAGTACTAAGTTTTATTTTTTTTCTCACAGACAGCAACACTAAAAATATGGTCTTTTACAACAGAATGCATTGTTGTAGATTAAACTACCCAACAGTATATGAAGTAGGCAACTTTAAATTTAATAACCTTGAACATATTCAGAAGTAAAATGCAACATACACATTAGTGCAGCAGTAATATTAATGCAATACCCATCCTAACAAATTATTTTTTCAGAACAATACTGCATACCTTTACTTTTACTCTCAATACCTTAAGTATATTAATTAGAGTATGCAAGATAATATTTTTACTTAAAGGATAGTTCACCCAAAAATGAACATTCTGTAATCATTTACTCACCCTCAAGTTGTTCCAGGTTTGGAATTTTCATTTTTTGGTGAACTATCCCTTTAGCTGAGGTTATAAATATGACTAGTAACTTTTCCCCAATATGGTATTGGTATAGTTACTAAAAGTAGTTTACTAAAGTATCACAATATTTCTTCTACTAATTACTTTGTCATAGCTCTAAACAATTTCCCTAAATCAGACCAGACCCCTGTACTGCAGGATAAAGCTGGATCTTTCCCTAAGTCAGACCAGACCCCTGTACTGCAGGATAAAGCTGAATGTGCCAGCGCTGGACAGGTTTTTTAACCATTTTCGGCAGAGCAGGGAGGCCCTGACAGTGCTGCTGGATCTTCTGAGTAGTGAACGGCAACACGGATGGGGTGCCACAATCCAGACCCTGGTGTTTCTTTTCTGTCTGGCCAGTGGTACATCATACAGAGTGGTCTCCAGAGTGTTTG